ATTATTAGTTTTTTTAAAAATTAATATCGATAAAAATGTATTTATTATGGGTAAAAAAGTTTGAAAATGTAATACAAGACACTTCTAATATATTRTTACAATAGCAGTTGAAAAATAAAAGAAATTCATAGYCACAATTTTTTTTTATAAGCATTCAAAGTTTTGAATTTTGACAAAATACGTAAAAATCGCCTTACCGTAACCTGATACACAATAGCACAATAATATGTCATACATATACGTATGTATGTATTAAAATACTTTATTAGTATATTAGTACTTTATTAAATATTTTCATTATGTTTAATCAAAGGTACACTGTTACAAAGTTATCGACTTATATTGACTGTAAGTGCTGTTGAGTATCGTTATTTTATCGTTGGGAAAAAAATATATAATTAATAATATTTTATAATATTATTTTTTATTTTTTTTATTAGTAGGCAGGACTTATAATCTTTTTTTCATGGGACCCAACTTACCTAATACCTACTACCTTTTTTTCTCGGGACTCAATTTACCAAGGGTCATTTGGAACCCAATTTACCAATTCCTAATACAAATGCCTATTTTATATGTGTAAAAAGTTTCTTACTTTACACAATGATTTATCTATTTAAAAATTTTAATTTTAATGTTTGATTTATACATAAATGTGTAACTTTTTGTGTAAAGACGATAGATATATCAGAATTGCAATAAACTGTATAGTTTTTTAAAAATATTAAAAATTCTAATAGATAATGCCCAGTTGTGCAGCAATAAGTGATAGCTACAGTTAAAGGAATAGATACATAACAAAAATGTATTTTGTAAGATTTTAAATATTTTAAAGAATTTGAACACTTTTTATCATCAATGTCTTTAAAGTAGTATAAAATACATTCAACAAAAATTTTAAACTATACTCTAAAGGTAAGTAAATTACTATGTGAAACAACTAGTTTTTACCTGTATAAATTTTATTGGCCCACATATTTATTAAGTTTATCWTAACTTATTAAATAATACAGGCCAAGTTACTGAGGGTTATTTCTTTAATAAGTATGTCCAAATATATCTATCTAATATTTATCAACTGCTGTTATATCATCTAATGAGCAACCTAGCAATGAATTTTCAAGTGATAAAATGTAATGAAAAAACCAAAAAAAAAATTGAAAATTGAAAATGTCTATTAACAACTCAAAACAATCAAAATATTTTCAAGATTGTATCACACATCGAAAATGGTAAAATTATCATTTTATACTAAGCACCAACTAGATTCACTTTCCTACCAAAAAGATGCCAAATTGTAAACTAAAGCATTTAAATTGTCCAAAAGGTAACCAAAAAAACACTGATAGTAAAATCAGTATATTCATGATTCATCGCTCAGAATGTAAAATACGAAAATTCAAATTTAAAAAACTGCATTCTTTAAGAAAAAAAGGGAGATGAGTATGTTTGGGGAATATCGAGCATATTTATTTTTGTTAGATATTAATTATTTTTTGTAAAAAATTGTAATTATAATTAACAAGTTACCTTTTAAACTATTATTTGTATCACATGTAGGTTGAACTTCCATTACACTTGCATTCATATTAACATCATTTAATATATCCAAATAGACATATTCTAAATCCATATCATTATTATTTATATTTCCACTTATGATCTCTCTTTCTGAAATTTGTTATAGTATGTTAATTTTTTTAAGCATTATCAACTTATTTWAAAAATATGGCATCATAAAATAAAAGAACACAATTTTAAACATAATAATATAGGTTGATATTTTTGAAGCATTAAAAATAATAATTTTCTCAAACTAYAAGAGAAATATACAATTATACAATTATAAATACGTAGCAATTTATTATTTAATAATATACAGTGTCCCAAAAATTCCATATCACTCTTAGTATATTCATGGCAAATCAATACATTAAATACAGTATTTTTTTTTCAACAATTAGGAAATTCTAATTGAATGGCATAAGATTAATCTTTTTTTGAATTCAAACATTTTTAAAATTTTTATATAGCTATTTTAAATCATGTTTTTCTAGTTATTTTAAAAATATACTGAAATTGAGTGAAACGACTGGATTAAATTATTGTAAATAAAGTTACTAAACATTGCCAATTGCCTGATTTAATAAATCTCAATTGGAACATGGACTTTAAATGACAATCTACTTTGTATTGAGAACTTTTCTACTTTACCAGACAGTCAACCATTTAATGAMATTTTTTTGAGGCACCAATGATGTTGGTTAAATCAAAATGTAGCAAGTTTTAAAGTATAACAAATAGTTACTCCCTACTTCTTTTATTTCCAGTGACTATACTAAATGAATTTATATCTTCTCAGTTCATGATTACATTAACACGCTTAAATGTTACTCTCGCAAAAATTAAGTTGCAAAATTATCAAATTGAGCAAGTATCAGATCACTTTTAAAAACCATTGGTCGAAATTATATCAATAGATTAATGTTTTAATTTTGGAAACAGTTAAAATTGAGTATTCTTCATGTTATAATGCTGAAAATACACTTTTACAAGGTCCTACAAATAATTTGATATTTACAGATTTTCATGCACCAAAAATTTGATTCTTATATGCCATTTAATTCAAATGTTCTTACTTATTACTGTAAAACAAACTGAATTTCAAGATATTTACAATCAGACGATACGTGACAAACTATATTGTATGATTCAACTTCAATTTTAAAAGTGGTGGTATGATAATAAATTTTGTTTAAATATACAACACATATTTTTATACTGAAAAATTAATACTTATTGTAAAAACTCTTTAAAAAATTAGGTAAAACTATAGCCAACACTCTCAATACTTCTAAATAATAATGAAAATAAATAATGCATARGTACGATTTAATGATATTAAATTCTTAATCAAATTTTTGAATTTAAAATATAAAAATTTAAAAATCATGTTTACCTTTTGCAATTTCTTTTTCAAATGATTCTAGATATTGTTTTGTTAAACTTAATGTAGTCTTCTCTTTAGATTGAAATTCTTTAATGTCATTGGAATCATTTAAAATTTCTTCAACATTTGATTTATTGCATTTTGTTGAGGTATTTAGTGATTGTAGCATTTGAGTTATCTTCTCTTTAGATTCAAATTCTTTAATATCATTGACATCATTTAAAATTTCCTCACTATTTGATTTATTGCATTTTGTTGAGGAATTTAATAATTGTTTTTCTAATGAATAGTTTTATTGAATAATATAATATTAAATCAATACATATTATTACACATTATTYATTAAAATGTCATGTTGTACTTTTTARAAATACATAAGATTATAAATAGATTATCTTCATCTTACCTTTATCACTCTTGTTTTTTACAGTTGATTTGGAAAGGGTTGATGTTTCAAGTATTTTATCATATTTTTTTAGTTGTTGATCTATTTTATCTTCTAATGAGTTTAACAAAATAGTTCTTTCATCAATACTTTTTTTTTTTTTTTCTTTGACTAACAAAGTATTTTTGTCTACAATATTAAATTCTAGCCTATTAAAATCACATAGATTTATTTTATCATTAAMAGATGTTTTGAGCTGTCTACTGTTGTAATCTTCATGGTTAAACAAGTTCTACAAAATATATGTAAAAAGCATATTATGTTTCAAASTAGGTACTGACTGGGAATTTACCTTATAGCCGGCAAACAAAAATCCAGTAAAAAAAAGTTAGGTTTATTTATTAAAAATATTTATTTAGAAGTATACATTTTTCAACTTAAATCAATATTATAGGTACAATAAAAATTAAAATACAACACAAGATATGACATTATAATTTTTTATCAATGTAATAACCAATATAATTTAAATGCCAATTTTTTGTATTAAGTTTAATATGCACTGCATGCGACTTAAGGAGTTGTAATGATTTTTTTATACGTAATCATAAACAGACGCTCAGTGCGTTTCCACAGATTGAGCGTACAACCGTGCCTCACCAAGTCAAGAAGTATGATTTGTTGAACTTAATAATTGAAATATTAAATCCTACCCTATATCTTTTTTTACTCTCGGATCCCAACCTCTTGTCTTCTGTTCTATGTATCATATAAAAGTATAATATTGCGTACATAAACATACAAATAACTAATAAATAAATAGGACTTTTTTTAC